AATCACTTGCTTTCTTTGCAAGAAAATAGATGCATGAAACTGCACACATCTTTCCAGGAGAGTAAAGGATAGTATTCCGAGCAGGGTAGGAGCCATGCTCCAATATTGCTCCGTACATTGAACTACTGATTCCCATCGCTTAAAGTAAGAATTTTTGCAAACGCTGAATAAAAAAAGCATGGCAATTTTCTGAGTAAGGATTAATAGACGTGAAAGAAATGGCATTAATTATACTAATGTTATTGTCTACCAAAGCTGCTTTCAATCATTTTTATATTCAATAGTGTGCATCATCATGAATTGGTGATAAATATAGACGAAAAAAGGTAGTAATAACGAAAGTTATACAGGTGTAAATTAGAGCATATTTTTAAACTACTATGAAGTCACAGCTTCTTGAGATAACATAAAATTATAGGATGTGTGCACATCCTAAATTGAATCCTGGGGAATTTTGTACTGTTCGTATGCTAGTTGATTATCATTTGGGCAACGCTGTCTGAGAAAGTTACAAACCTCTATTTCCATAGCTTCCTACTCCAAACCTTATTCTTAACCCCAAGGAGCCAGCATGGGGACGGTATAAGCCATTGTGTATTGGACATATTCGAGCCATGGTCACTTACTATTTGGGGAGCAGCTATGGAGGCACTGTAACCTCAGGTCCCCAGCCTCAGCCCTCTCCTCCTCAGTCCTGGAAAAGAGAATATAGAAGTAGCACCTTTAACAGAAACAAAGGCTGCTCCCAAATGTACAGAAATGGAAGGGTCAAAATCAATAAGAGTACAACATACCTGGGCTCCTCCATCTATAGCCAGCCAGGCCCATTATGGAGATCGTAATGGTCTCGGGAAGGACTCGGTTCCACTGGCTTTGCCCCTCTCAGGGAAAAGCTCATGTAAAGAGGCCATGGGGAATAGAAATGAGGGGCTCAGGGCTGCGTCTCTCCCACTCTTTCACTCTTCAGGATGAAGCTAAGCGTCGGGGACTAACAGCATTGTACAGTACGTGTGTGTTGGAAGTGGGTGTGTTGCTAGTGCTACACCATTTAAGTGCCAGTCCATGTAATTTTCCAGAAGGAACAGCTCTGCGGATAAACCTTCCTGTGTTGCAGAATAAAGTACAGAATAAATCCAAGGCAGAACGTTACACATCCTTGTGTGCTAATGAAAGCTGAATAGTCAGATTTGAAATATGAAAAGATACTGACTCTGTAAATGGGAGGTACTGTAGGTCAACAGCTTTAAACCTGTTCAGATACCTAGGTGACCAAAGAGGAAATCAGAGCAAAAGGTTGGCATGTCTTTGGAAAGCATTGATATGATCTGCACAACACCTTAAATGAGTACGATGGAGTTAGAGAAAGAAAACTGTGATTAAGATACGTCAGAGAAATGTACAAAAAAGGAAGAAAATAGCATATGCAAATGATGATTTGAAAGTTCTGATTCTTATAGTGTCGGGAATACTCTGCAATAGCTTTGGTCCTGCCGTCTGTTTCAAACTGCTCCCAGCACTTCAAAACTACATTTTCTATCCCCGCAGAGACATTTTGTCTGCACTGGTATCAATGGCAGTTTGAACTCAGTTTACTCTAGAATTTCACCTGCAGCATCTGCCTGATGTTGGGCTGGTTTTGCAGATCTGAGTAAGGGCTCAGTCAGCAAGAAAAATGTTGTGAAATCAGCTGCAATACCACAATGGGTGTTGATGGACAGCTGCAAGTTGGCAAATGCTGTGCTATGGATGAGTGAACTGTGGAAGGCTGAATCTTCCAGATTTACTTGCTAAATTTGTTTGTTGGTTTAGCAGTGCCTCGGAAGTAAGATGTGCTTCACAGGGAGCAAAAGGCTGGATATCAGACTGAAGACAGGGCTATGCTGGTCTCTGGGGTCCCCTCTCCCACCGGTGCCAGGGTGGGCTGACCTCCTTAGCCCTGCCTGCAGTGCCTCAGTTCCAATGCGACTCAACACCCCTGGCCTCACACAGCCTGACCAGGCATGGATGCATCTCCAAAAGCTGCTAATCTTTCTGTTGATGTCAACAGTAAAAGAGGGCAGTAGCTAATTCAAGTTTTCTCATGTGTCTTTAATAACTTTTTATTCTCACCCAAGGCAGTGACTACCTCTCCATGAAGACCTCACTTGGATTTTAATTCCATGCTTTCAGGCCCGTTATCCCTGACCCCAGGCTTCAATCCTCACGTATTCTCACTCCAAACCTCTACGTTCCCTTGCCCCAGATCTTCCTCCCTGTAGCTACAATTCTCCTTATTCCAGCAGCTGTGACAATTGCCCTAGGGTCTCCATCTGCCCCTCTAACACCTTCTGCCTTTCCCCCAGCATACTGAAGAAGCAAAGAGGAAGGTTTATCGTTCTTCATCTGAAAGCAAAGCCCACCAGAGTTCTGGGAGCAGGGAAAGGTGGTGGGGAGTGGCTGAAAGGGGATTTTTTTTTTTAGTATAGAAAAAAAGGAAAGCAAGAAACTGGGGACAAACACAGGAAAGACATTCCCTATGAATAACCTAGCTGCGCTGTCCCTTGCCTGGATGGATGTGATCATTGTGTTGCTGTAGCCAGTTGGTCTAAATGAGTGCACTTCTTGTGAATGTGTCCTAATTATTACACAGCCATATGGGCAAAGCTGCTAAAACTGCTACATCTACTAATTTCCATCTTGCCTTCCTCTCACTGCCTTTTTAGCACCCCCAAACTAGATATAGTTGCATATTTATTAGATGTTATACAGAGAAAGCTGAAGCTTTAACAGCCTGGGTGCACTGAAGTTAGTGCTGCACTGGAAGGGTTACCCCAGTCCCCTGCTGTGGGCATTATTTTCTCATGGCCTTACAGGTACACTTGTGCAGGGCAGGGAGGAAAGTGTGGGATGTTGTGGCATGACCTGACTGTGGAACAGCTACATCTCTGTGGCAGCAGGCAAAGGGACAGCAGTCCCAGAACTACTACCTGTGTGCTGCAGGACGTTACAGAAGCCAAATAGCTGGACAGTGGAAGAGGAGAAGTTCCTGGCACATTGACAGTCCTTCAGCTGACTGTCACATACATCAGACTATATGGAGAGAACAAAGAATCCGTCTCCCTTGGACTTATTTGGAAGGATCCTCAGAGCAAAGGAAGCAGAAAGGGATGTGGAGGGTTCTTCCTCTGCTAGCTGGGAGGAACTGTAGACAACAGACCATGCTCGAGATAATATGGGGCAAGAGTATTCATATGAAACAGAGTAGAAAGAGAAATTGAGAGGGAAGAGAGATACCTATCATGAACTGACACCTAATAAACTAAAAAATTGAAAAAGATGAGCAAAAGTTACAGACACATACTCAGTTAAAAGGAAAGCCAGAGAAAAAGGGAGGACAAACAATAATAGGATAAAGACTGAAAACTGCCATGTTGCAGATAATTCTACTGATAATTTTATAGAACACTTAATACATGAATAGTACCTCCAACCCTGTATCATTTACTTGTTCTGCTTAGCATTACTCTGAGGGCTATCATATGTTTTATATCTGAAGAGCTATAATATCTTTTGATTTTATAATGTGAACTACAGTGTCCATTTTGTCTGGGATTTTCGAAGTATCCCAGGCCTGGGAAGGAAATAATTGTTGAATATAACACCACGAATCTTTGATTTTTCAGCAGCTGTTTAAATGTTTTCCCAGTGACAGAAACAGTAAGAAGCTTAGCTGTTGAGAGACAAAGTCTGTGTCTTCGTGGTCGCGGGGAGTTGGAGGATTTGGCTGTCTCTGTGTAAGCACGCTCTTTGCAACTTGCTTGTGCTTATGTGTGGACTTAGGGTTGGATAACTATGTGCTGCTTAAGGTAGAGCGAAAACAGGCTGTGAAGCAGCATTTGAGGTGTACACATATATTGGTGTGATTTTAAAGGTCTTTCCTATGTTCTTCACAGCTGAGGCAGTTCTTAGGGTGCAGAGATGATGCAGACGGTGCGAAGCTGGCATGCTAGGGGAGGGGATGGGGTGAGCTGGTGGGAGGGAGGGGGTCAGGACAACAAGCCATGCACTGATTTGGGTCATCCCTTGTATCTTCTGCACTGGATGGTGAACATGGGGCACACTGATTGAATTGAGAGGTCTCAAGGGAACATTTCAGCTCTTTCATCTAATAGGTCTCTAGTAAATCTTCTGTTGTTATATGCAGTTACATGTGATTAAAATTAAATGAAATACAGCGATATTATGTTTGACAAAGTACTTGCAAGATTAGTGGTATTTCACTGTCAGTATTTTTCATAAAGGAAATTTCTTATCTGGGAGCAGGGGCCTGTAGAAGTATATTCCAACAAAACACTTTTGTCAGAAAAAATGGGGCTAACGCTTTTCTTCCCCGCCTTCCAGAAGATAATCTGCAGCTGTGGAGAATAATGATCAAGCTTTAAATTTCACTAGAAATACATTGCTCTTAGAAAACTGCCTATCGTACTGAGTCTATTCCACACAGAGGTAGATGCATGTGTACAGTGGGTGCTGGATGTGTACTGAGAGAGAGGAACACGCAAAGAGGAGGGCAGTGAGATGTACAAAATAACTGGAAGGAAGAAAGGCTGCAGGGCTTTATTTATGAGATATGAAAAGGAACATGGAGGTGTAGGAGTAGGAGGGAATGTGAAGTATCCCTGGGTATATGCACAGGAAAGAAAGAGAATCTAAATTATTTTCTGTTTGTGCAAAGGAAGATCGGAGGTAGGGGAAGTGTGCTTGCTGGGACTGCTGGTGCCCAAGGCATCTAGCAACACTCTGTTGCTAATTGATGATCCTTGGACCCCCTGCAATCTCAGAGTGTTCTCAGGGCACAGTAGTGAAGCTGACCATGCAAATGCTAACTTAAAAAAAAAAAAAGGATGTAATGCTGCACAGCTTTAAATCTCTGGAATGATCCCATGGTAACACTGTCTCTGGGTTTCTTAGTATGTATTCAGATACAACAATTAAAATAATGTGATATAAAAAAAGAAAGTCATAATCATGAAGCTTGGGAACACCACGGACTTGAGCTGCATTTGCCAAGTGTGTGTGAAGGGGTTTGGAGGATGTGACCAACAAGTGAACTGTTCACACAAATTCAAAATGAGCAAGCAAGCTGGAAGGACAGAACAAAATATACAGTCCAGTCATAAAGCAAGTGGTAGAGACAAAGTATTGTCTCTGTATACTGGTCAGGGTGGATCTAACCAGTATACAGAGCAGTCACATGGAACAGGCTTTTCTCTATGCATGTTGCCTAGTATGGAGCTTATTTGGTATGATATGGATAAAAGAAGATGTAAAAACCACATTGGTTTGTACTGGTGGGACTTGTCACTCGTCTTGGGCATATGAGTGTTCAATACCCTGCTAGTCATGTAGGTAAGATCAAACCTTCCGCCCAAGAGACCTGAAAAAGCCTTGGTGCTGCATTCGGCTTCTCATCATTCTTTAGGGCCCTTCACCTGTTTGTCTACTGTGTCAGGGTGAAGGTCCCTCAGGTTACGACAAGTCCAACATGAATTTGATTGTAAAGTCTTAGGTGGTATTGATTTACGTGTATGTAAAAATGGGGTCAGGGAGGGCTGTGTAATATGGCGAGTGCAAGAGGAATCAAAATCAAAACACACAACACAGATGTGAGATAAAGAGGGTTACTGTCCTCTGTGCCATTAATGTTTTCTGCCATTTACTGTTCCAGAAAGGGCAGAAGTGGTACTTGATAAAGTTACATTTCCCAATGTAACTCAGCATATTCTGTTGCTTACAATTCTGTCGGTGTCTCATCTGCAATTCTCACTTCAGTAATTTGGCTGACTGTTTTCCCTCGCTGAGTGTTGGTTTCCCCTGAGGCACATGCTGACCACTTCCCTTTCACTGTGGTTTGGTTTTTTTCAGGCAAAGATTTTAAAAAAAACCACTGTAATTTCTAAATGCAAAATTAGGAAAATCATCGTTGTTTGAATAATTTCTCTCATCCTTCCAGACTGAAAGGTAGAGTGAAAACTTGGAACTTGGCCAAGGAATAACTGTAACAACAGAGACTATTAGTTAAGATTGGGTAACAAACACAAAGTAATAAGCATAGAAGGTCTCTAGCTCTTCCTGCTCAGAACTCCTCCTCACTTCGCTGCTGAAATGCCTGATCATTTTTAATCTTCTGTCTCCTCAGAGCTTCCCAACCACTCTCTTCCATCACTGAGAAACTGCCACATCGGTCAGAAGAACAAGAGTGAATCCTCACATTTTCTGTTCCCTAAATATCCTTATATTTCTTCCAACAATAGGCTTTTGGTGAGGATTCTCTGTACTTATCAGCTCCTCATTCCACGAAGGTACCCCTATGGAGTCCATCACACCTTCCCTGCTGTGTGAGGTCCATATTTGTGTGTTCATCACATTCTGCAATGTTAAGCTAAGCCTTAACCTTCTCACAGAAGAATGAGGGCGGCAAGTATCCCAGTGCAGCCTCATGGGCTAACTGAGAGTGCGTGGGGTCAGCAGTGTGCTGGGTGGATGTGTGGTAACGGGCTATGTTTGTAGGCAGGGCAAAGGAGCATCTCTGGGCCTTCAGGGCTCAGATGGGACTTAGAATCAATCTAAGACCCTGGTAGCAGCGTGGGTGGCACCGTGTGGGTGTTTTTGCAGAGGAACATCGCAGTGCAATATGATGTATGTGCTATGTTTGTGTGGAGGAGTTCAGGGGAACGGGTTGTGTGGAGGAGCCTAGTATGGGTTGTAGGCATGTGACTATGGAAGATGGCAACTCCAAAGTGGTCTAGGGGTGGCTGGAAAATGTCTCAGCAGCCATTAGGATTGTTGGGAAGTGCCTACGACACGTGCTGAGAAAGTGTGGCTGTAACATTTGTTATATGCCCACAATTTTACCTTTCCAGAGAGGGAGAATCAGCTTGCATTGGCAGGATAGCTTCTTATGGCTTCCTGTGAACCAGATGCATACTGTAAAGACTTGTCAGTCTTGTGTTTTAATGAGTATATGAGAAAAGGCAGGCACTGGGACACCACAAAACTTAAGAAAAAACAAATCGAGTAAGATCTTTTGTGTTTGTCTTTAACACACATCTTCTCCAAGTATCTCAGAGACTTCACCCACTTGTGCTGAAATGGGTGAGAGCCTGGATTTTCTGAGACTAGCAGAGTCCATGAAAACCTCCACTGATCGAGCGACTGACTGCACTGACCTTTCTCTGAAGTACTTGATGGCTTCCTGGTCTAGGAAGTTCTGCTCTTCTCGAAAGCCCTGCTCAAAGATTTTGCGCTTGTGTCTGAACTCAATGACAGTCTTAGTGTAAGAGTTCAAGGTAGTAACGGAGGCCGCCATGCAGCAGGTGAAAGAGCCCCATGCCAGACTGTGGAGAGAGAAACCAGCAGACAGAGCTGGGTTAAGACAGCAGCTCATGTTATATTTCTGACGCCAAGAGACACACATACACCGGATGCGACTAGGCAGGTAAGTCAGCGGTGACAAACCCATTCTCCTCATCTTACCTCAAACGACCTGTGGCACATGCTCAGGCATGCAGGCAGGATGCTGGGCTAGGTAGGGTCTGGGCACAACTTTCATCCCACGGAGATCCGTGTGGCAGAGTGCCTACAGGAACACTCTGTGCACTCTGACAGAAGAGTCAAATGTCTCCTGGTTTCCCTTTGAAATGTTTCAGGGCCTTGCAGATGAGTGCTAAAATCTATAGAGCAGTAATGAACTCCTGGAAGGAGTAATGCCCCAGAGAGCATGTCTTTTGGCCCAGTGGAAGTTCTCCAGCATCCATGGGAGACTGACTCTGCACAATGCTACTGCAGGGATGGTTTCTATCCCATTTTTTTTATGACTTCATCAGACTACTACTGTATTTCCTTCTTTCCTGGTTCATGGACGTTTCTAGCATTCCTGGCTTACATCTGGTCTCTGAAAGCCTGACCAGACTAGAAGACAGCACTTCCATTTTCTGGAGGGATCCAATCTGAGGGCAGTGCCCCAAGTGTGCAGGCAGTGCTTGGCAGGACACCTGTAAGTACCGACCAGGAGCGTGGGGAGACAGAGGGAGAAGGAAAGTGGAAGTAAAAAAGAGACTGCCCCAATACGAGACTGGAACAGCAGCAAGTGTTGTCCTGGGTCTCCTGGCAAGGAGAGTTCAGCTGGGAGCTGCTCTGCTCCCTGCTCGTGGGCTGGGTTTCCCTCCTGGGTGTCTTCTGCCCTCCGAGCACATCTCTCCTCCAGCCTTTACCTCACTGATCTCAAGTTCAGATGTGGCTGGGGAGAACTCGTGGTGCCAAGGAGTTTAGATGCTTTTTGGGCATGAAATGGGGCTACAAAAAAGGCACTGAATTCCTCCTTTTGTCTGCAGAGCTTATCTGCAGTCAGGGTCCACTTGACTTCACATTCTGCCCATCAGCTCCAGCTACATATAGTTAACAGTGGCTTCCTAAACAACTTGGATTAACTTAATCATCTGTGTCAGCTACACACTTTACCTGCTCCTTGCTTTCACCTTTTCTATAACCAAATTGAACATTGATATAAATTTTGCAGAACAGAAAGAATACAGCCACAGTAGCATTATCTTATAAATAGGCATTATCAACAGAGCCCTCAGCATGAGCTGTTTTCCTATTCTGCAAAGGATCTGCAAACAGGGAAACAGTTTCTCATTTCAAATTAGACAAAACTTGAAAAAGAACACATATTCATGAACTGAAAAATCTGGGAAAAAATGGTTCAAGTAAACTCATTTCAATGATTTCAAATTTCAGTGCATAACAAGTCCTTTAGGGACTCCCATGGCAATGAAGTGTGGGGAGGCAACCCTTTCCTAGTCATTTTTGAACGTGTTTTCCAGTTGCAATCAAATGAGAAGGAAGTGCACTGAACCCTGGGGTGATGAAGTTCTCTTAGGCTTCCTGTGGTTGGGTGGAGAAGTGGAAAGGAAACGTGTGCTACGTGTGCATGTCCAGGCACAGCAAAGCCTGGCAAGTGACTTTCCTACACAGAGTGTGTAGAAACCCTCTAACAGCTCCAAACATTTCCAGCTGGACTGCTAAACAATATCAAGGAAGAAGCCAGCTGAAACCACATGCCTCACTGTGCCTGGTTGGTGCCGAGGGTATGACATACGGAGAAAGATTCCTCTTGAAAGTTTCTGATCATTTCTAATCATCAACTCTGAAATGCTGAAAGGTTCAGAGATGGAAATACAGAATGAAGACCCTCAATGTGACCTCAGGTCTGGCACTTGGTAAATCATAATAATGAGACAATTCCAATTGATATGTTTTAGTTTTTATGGACCTTTGTTAAATGTTATTTATTTTCAAGTATAAACAGTGGTTCTCCTACCTGCAAGAGTTACATCCTACCTGAGGTGAAGACCTCTTTAATGGCAACACCACTCCGTGCCAGCTGTGCCCCAGATGTGGTGGGACAGTACATATACTGCTTCTGGTAGCTGAGCACAGGGCTGTGCTCTCAAGTCTCTCTGTGGCTCAAATGGCTCACATTTTTGCATTTGTTTTCTTCCTAGAGGGGCTGAGCTTGAACATCCACTGATCCTCAGACCCACTGAAAGTCCCTGCCTGGAGAATCCACTGGCCCACTCCCGGCTTTGCCAATGGCTTGGGAATGGGGACCGAGCCATGTGTTTTGAACACTTGGACATCTGAGAAGATCACAAGCAGCCCTTCCTCATTTTGAGGAGAGGTATATTTATCATTCCCATTCGATAGAGGGGAAATAGAGCCACAGAAAAAATAGTTTTCCTGTTGGCACTTGGGAAACGAATGACAGCCTGGATCTCCACTCATGCCCTTTGGCTCTTGGCCATGGGGAAGCTGTTCTCAGGCCCCACTTTTCAGTGGTGGTGCAATTCTCTCTGCTCTAACAGGTTGTCTAGCAGGATGCTGCAGTGGTACTTTTTACAGAAGGCTGTAAATAATGCTGATGTTTGCACTACTGGTTCAGGCACATTTAAAGCTCATGCTTCAGGCCATCACCTGGACCCAGATGGAACAGAAAGAAATTCCTACGTGTTCACAGTTTCCAAACTCCACCAGACTGTGTGGGCAATTGTGTTTAACCGTTCTTCAAGTCAGTGTTCAAGTCTGGGTGGCTGTCTCTCTCTAGTCTGTACAGCAGTTCCGTGTTAGCTGGAAGGAAGAAGCCTTGTTTTTGCTGTGTTTGACTGTCAGACCTTCCTTTGCCAGGTCTGCTACCAGCCTCCGGCATGGCATGAGGGACCCCATGACCTTCCTCGGGCTCCTGTGAAAATGCTGCTGCTGTTCACGTCTGTCTCAGGGGAGCTGGGACTGAGCTGATGTTTGCGCCCTGCCCAGCGTCCTGCATGGACAGGTATGTTGCCTTGGAAGGTATTAGGGGAGGGAGAGAGATTACCAAATCTGAGAAGTTGCCTTGTGGTAGCAATAGCTTGAGCAGAGCTCAGCTTTAACTAGGGTGAACCAACAGCCACTGTACAGCGTGAAGCTGAGGTCCCACTTCAGGAATAGGGGAAGAGCTGAGATTCCTCCTGCATGTTTGTCTGCTCGTGGGTGTCTCCAGCATCCTCCACAGCAAGGCTTAACCCAGGGTCAGTCCTGGTCTTTAAACCAAAGCCCGCCGTGCGCTGGCTGGCTGGGGAGAGCTGCAGGCAAGGGGTGCAACGTCTGCTCTGGGACAAAACCGTGGTCAGTACAGCAAACACTGCTGTGAGCTGCTGTCCCAGGGTGGGCTGCTGGGCTCTGAACAGCTCGCTCGGAGCATGGGTAGGATGAACAGGCCCAGGGTGGGCTCATAATGCCCGACGGGACCCGATGATGCCCGTTCTGAGGCATAGGGTTTCTTGTCTTGCACAAGGTGAAGGAGAATAATCTAATGAGTGCTTTATCATGCTAGACATTTAACATCATTCTGAATTTTGAGTATTGCAGTAAATTATAAAATAGATTACTGAAGACAAATTAATAGAGAATATGCATTATTATTTAAATATATATGTAAATATATCGTTATTACATAATAGTTATAAATATTTATATAAATATATGACTGTATTATGTTTATGAGTTCATCATCATATGCAATAAATATTTATTATTGATACACAAAACAAGCTGTATTTTAAATATAATGTGATTTATATTTTGTAACGTGTTACTAAAATGTTAATAACTCCTTCCATGAAATACCGTATAGTGAGGGGAGAAGGAAAGACCAATAACTTCCTGCAGTGCTGTGCGTAAGAAGTATTTGTATTTATTTATTGGTGTTAGCAAAGGTTGTTGTCTCTGCTTTGAGATGGAATGAAAATAATATGCTATATTTAAATGAAAAAAAGAAAGTATTTTCACTAGCCATCCAAAGAGGCTGATGCCTTTGGAAGGATATGAATGTTGTTTGCAGGTATTTCTATTCTCTAGTCTCCTATTCTTGTTAAGCTTCTTATAAACTTGCAAGCAATATAACACAGTTGACGTATCTTGGCCAAATTATTTTTGTGATTTTTAGAAGATAAATGGGAAAGGTTAAAAAAATAAAATAAAAATCAGTCTCCAAAATGTTTTGTCTGCTTTTCCGAGCCTTCTCACCGTGATCCACAGGGAAGTATCATGGTGCCAGGAGCACTATGCCTTCCCCTGTGGTTGTGTTAAAAGTTGCACTGTAAGGTTCAACTGAGACATTAATTAAAAACAACAACAACAAAAAAAGCTAAAAGTCTCTGAAATGCCATCGCAATTATGTACCTAAATTGAACTTTAATGAGAGTGCTCAATCTGTGTTGGTAATTGTGGCTGCTGTTTATTTACAAATGCTATGTACCTGCTGATAGGTGCAGCTGCTGCTGCACAGTCACTGATAGCTGTCCTCTAACACCTCAACAATTGCACGGCCATGGTGGTTTTTTTGCTCCTAGCATTTTGGCAGCTGGAAATTCACATGCGTGTTCCTGCAAATTTGAGATGAGATGTACAATCTCCCGACAGATTGATGGAACAACTCAAAAATGAAAAGATAGTAACTGATGGTGACACTTACCAGAAGGACCATCCGTAGTCCCATGAGTGCGGTCGCCAGTCCTCTGGCCCAAGGCTGACTGTCACTTGGAAAACTTGAGTATACATCATGTGTGCCACCATCCCCAAGAGACCTGAGAAGCAGGGATTATAATAGGAATTTTTGTGCTAATGTTTTTTTATAGTTCTTGAGATAGCTACTGCTGGAAGTGCTCTGAAAGCTCCAAAAAAGTCTTTGTTGCACTTTTATGCCTTCTATTCTACTGTGGAGGAGGGAGCTGCATGGGCAGAGGAAAGGTGTGACTGAGAGCTCATTATTTTACATCATACTGAATTCTCAATTAAGAGAAGAGTTAAAGAAAGAAAATCGTTGAAGAAAATGTTGCACAATTAGCATCCCCACCAACCTTGCTCCTGCAAAAGGGGTATGCCACCCACAAGTTATCTCACTTAGCCCATTGCAGACAGGCCTCAGGTAAGAGAATAAAGAAAGAGGCTTCTGGAGGCAATGCAAGATTGAATGTGTTAATGCCAAACAATGATATTTTATCTGAACAGTTGCTAAGACTTATAAATTTGAACACTTATAAAACACTTGGAAGTTACACAAGGAAGTTAAGTGAACTCAGTATTCCTGATGATGTGTGGCGAGAGGACACCATAGGAATACTTTTGAAGGTACAATGTCGATGATGCTTGCTTTTGTGACACCGTTATATTTTGCTGAGATAACTACAACTGGGTGAAGATTAGACAATGTATTAGAGACTTGACTCACTGTGATGCTAAAGAACAGGGTTTCAGTTAGATCACTGAGTTTGCCACTTAGCTGGCCAGCCCATATTTTTACACTTAGACATCTCTGAGGAAAATCAAAATCCACTTTTCAAGAAGTGGCGGCCAGTAGCAGCTCAGATGCTTGGAGAACTTTCTAGCTACAATAATTTGGGATGTGTCTGCTGTAGTACCTAGGCAGCGCAGAAGGATGCTCCCAGCTGAGCCCATGAAAAGCATGGGTTCAGGCAGTTAGGTGAGCTGTGGGGCAGGATCATCGTTTTCCAAATACACCTGGGACCTACAGATGTCACAAGCCCCTTGTGCTGCAATGACAGTCCAAGGCACTTTGAAATACTGATGTTCTGCGATGGTGGGGTACAGTGCAGTCCCGTACGTTACACTTTGCTCCTTAACCAAAGTCGCCCTTTACTGTTATCTCTGACCATCTACTTTTTTCCACAGTTGCCCTTCCTCCATGTGGAAGATTCTGATTTTTCCATCCCCAGACCCAAATTTTGGCTCTTTTTTCCTGCCTACTTTCAGACTTTAAAGCACTTCATTAGTCTCACCAGACATGTGGATGATTCAGGGCAATTGTGGGGGAGGCAAATTGGGGAATGTCATGTTTGTGTTGTGGGTATGTTAAACAGGACCTTCAGCAAGACAAATGTCATATTTGATACAAACAACTGCAGAGGCTGAAAGAAGATACTGTATTACGAGAAGCTGAGGTGATTTGCTCAGCTGCTTCATGTCGGTGTGACACACCGGAAAGTTAGGAGGTGGAAAGAGCAATTCACATTGGAAGAAGTGATATTTCAGCAGGGTGGGTGGCCTAATGGGAGCACAGCAAACTGGTACACACCTTGCTTGTTTCTGGCTATATTTAATTTCCAGAATTCACTGGGAGCTTGCTATACTTTCTAAATCAGTGGATTTCTCTCCAGCTGACAGTTATGGCGTTGATCTTAAAGTTTGGGGTTTGCTGTTCCTATACCTACTGTCAGTAATGTTTCAATCTTAATAAAATATTACAGACTGCACTGGGACATGTCAAAATCACTCAGAGCCATCAGGAGGCTTGCCACACCAGGACTAGCTTCAGCAAGGCTCAGCTCTGCTCTGTCGGGCAAAACCTTAACGGAGTTCCAGCAGTGCTGAGCCCTTTCGCTGCGTGGGAGGCCAGGATGACAGCCCACTGGTACAGGTGGGTGGGAGGTCAGCAGCAAGTCCTGCTGCAACGCAGGGACCACAGCGAACGACGTGGCGTTTGTTGCTTTATCTGCCTAATGGCAGGGAGGGCCGGGGGCGGACATGTACCTGGCTGTGCTGGCAGTGGCACTGAGCCGTGTATAAGCGATAGCAGAACAATAGGAGTCTTTCTTTCATTGTGCTGCTTCATGCGCTTGTGGTTTGGTTTGTTCCAGATGCCACCCCTCGGTTTGGTCTATTTTAGATATACTTTGCTAAGTGCTCCATGGGGATATCCTATGATATTTTATGTTGGACATTGAATGGTCACGTGTTGGATAAAATGACCTGCCTGTATCATAAATCAACAAATGCTGTATTATTTACAAGATCATCTTTTCCTCCAGCTGGCTGCTTAAGGCTGGACAAAGAGGACTAAATGCCTGTATGCCCACCCTGGGGTCCAGGGCAGCAGATGCTTGTAGGTGAAAAATCCTGATAATATGGTGGACTGGAGTGATGGGAGTGGATGGGAGTGCAGAAACACTGATCGTTTATAGTTGGCTTGAGATCATTAGCCTTGCAGGACCAGAGCTGTTTATGGGAGAACTTAGGGAACTAAATTTGGAAAAGACAATGTATTTTAAAGCATTTTCAGATACCTTTACTGAAAATATTATTTATGGAATATATCACACTAATTAAAATACTTTATTATAAATATTACATTAGAGATGCATATAAGTTGTTTAAGTTGTATACGGTTAAGAGGAATACCAAAATGTCAGTGTTGGGGGCGGGAGGGTGTTTAATGACTCATAAGAGGCTGAGAAATAGCGTTAAGTGGCCACACTGTTGGGGTAATTTTTCCTAACCTTTAGATGTTGAGCTATGAGAATATGAAGATTCCATTGCACTTTTAGGAGGGAATTCTAGCATGAATTTAATGAGAAGTGTGTTGCTTCAAGGCAAAGCTGTCTTTTTTTTTTTATCTGATTTCTATAAAGCTGTGTCACTATAAATATGATAGGATTAAATAAATATGTTTTTCTTCTTTCCTCTGAGATCTGTCACTGAAAAAAACCAGCTAGCAGTGTTTTGGGTTTTTTTTTTTTTTTTATTCCTATTTTTCTATCCTTTTTCTCTGTAAAATTTTAAAGTTTAGATTCGGAACATCATGGCAATGTACTTATAAAAAGAGAAGGAAAAATAAAAATAGATAGATGTGTAGGAAAGAAAACTTCATAATTCTTGCAAAACTTAAAACTGCAGTTAATGGTGAAGAGAAAGAGAAACAGCATGGAAATAGTTATTTGAATGCTGAAGAATTCCACATAGTTTGATTTTGAAAATTGAACTGACTTTTTTTTTAATCCAAATTGCATCCAAAGCTGAAAAATATACTTTGGAAGTTTTTACCAGATTATATTTTTTTTTTTTTCCTTTCAGCTCCACTTCTGATCTAAGTTTTATACCACTAACTGTATTTCACAAATATGAAGCTATCCCTTAAGATAGAAACTCCTTCACAGAAATGTGCACTGCCTGTTATAATCTCTTTCAGCTTGAAATACAGCAGAATAAAATGCACTTTTATTGCATCTTTTTCTTGTTCTTTCTGCAGAGAGGATCATGGAGGTGTGCTCACAAAAGCCAGCTGTGGCTGGTTGCTTGTATAAATCCTGGGAAATGGAGTTTTCAGCCAGCATAGAAGTGAAGGGGCACTTAATTACATGGTTAGATTTGATAACTTCTTTTAGAGAACTGGATTCCTCAAGTTCATTTGCTGAAGGGCTCCAAGTACAGACCGAGCATGAAAATAGCCTGAACATTTGTTCTGAGAGATATACATGTCCCCAAATTACCGGTGGAGTTGCTCCTAAGTGCAATTACTAGAACCCTTTTCATTCTCAGTTTTGCTAATGAACAAGATGGGCTTCTTTCTTTGGTTTGAAGCGTCAAGCCTTCATCTACTCTTATGATTAAATGGAAAAAAGAATTTTCAGCACTATCTGTTTTTGATTTTCTATTGGTTTATCAGTGTGATGATGCTGAAAATGGAGGCTCAGGCTATGGCTCTGGTAATGACTGTGTGGGCTGGGGGGAGGCGAATTACTGCATTGCCATTGTGAAATCAGGACTAGGTATTTTCACTTCTCCCTGGCAAGAGGCAAATTTATCATGCTGTCCTTGTTCCAAAGGAACAAAAAATTGTAGTGAAAAATGCAATAGTTAAATGGGGATAAAAGAGTCTTGTAGTCCTCAGTTTTTATTCTTTCAAAGTTTTAGAATTTTTTTTGTTGGGGCTCCTCAGGCGAAAGGGAAAGGGAAGGTTCATACCTGAAAGCACAGTGAAGACAGCAGCAAAGGCATTTAACTTGAGCCCATCTATCACACTGCTTGAATGAAAGAGCTCGAGGCACATAAGGCTGAATCCGACGACTAACAGCATGATGTATAACACCTCGGATACTACTGATAACCACAGGACACCTGCAATGCACAAGACCAGCAACCAGTCACTTATTTGGTAAATAATAAGAGGTAAAGTTGGTAAAAATTAAGTAGGAAATCAGGAATATCTAGGAGTAATTGGGTATTCAGAAAGTTTAAATTTAGTAAACCACCACCCCAAATCTGAAAAGTAGAAAAGGTAGTAAATGAGCATGTGAAGAACAGCAGGATGGTAAAGATACTGCAGAAAGAAAAAGCTGTTTCCTAAGATCCCAGGTTGCTAAAGGACCTCTTTGGGTATATCTAGAACCTCTTGGCTCCTATGACCCAGACATAGGACACAGAATCCATTTTCCCTCCCTATGTCAAGGTTTAGATGAGCGGAATCTAGCATACATGTGGAGATGGCACATATTACCTTACAGTACGTGGGCTGGTGGGAGATGAACAGGCTTGGATACCTCTTTTTCACAAGACTGTTCAAAGAAAATGTTTTCAGTCCAGTTTTTAAAATGCTTATCACAGCATAGTGTCGGGGCCTGTTATTAGAAATGCTTTTTCACAGAAACTGGTGTCCTGCAGAATGACTGTTCTGACTTTGGGTCTTTGGATCCACTGCACAGATTTCTGCCGCTGCGACTATATACAAAACCTGCCAGAATACCTGTGGGGTGGAACCAGTTATTTATAACATACTCAGTTGAAGAGCTGCAGATACAAAATTCGGACTGCCTTCTGTTTTCTCAACCCCTAGGTACAATCCCTCCGGTGAAGGGTAGAGCTGATGTGCCCCGTTTGACTCGCACGTTCTGCAGGACTTTGGGGTCGTGCACAGGTAAGTGGTTCTGGCAGCAGTTGGTAGGAAGGGGGGCTGAGACTGATTCATCTGCTGTAGAAGTTACATTTGGAAATTTCAGCACAAAGCCTGTAGCAGGATCTGCTGAGTCTTTTAAAGTCACCAAGCCATGGGGTAAATTTGAGAGGATGGTAACAGATGATAATGTTGAGTCCCTGCCAGACTTCCAATCGCTGTTTCAGCACGAGAATCTGCTAGAATTCTTCAGTACATTTGCTAACCTGATTGCTAGAGTATTCACCTGGAAACAATGAGCAGTGATGGGAAATTTCAGCCTAAGCAGTAGAAACATGGAAAGTTAAGCATCTGAAGACAATGGCTTACATTAGAAAATGTTAGCTGTAACCATAGAGACTGCTACAGGCTTCACTTATATTAATACATTCTCTCCTCACTGTAAGAACATATGTGTGATAATGCCTATAGTTGAGCTTATCAAACTAGATATGCAGTCTCACTTTTATCAAATATTTGAGTGTCCTCTTGGTGACCAGGATGATCCCAGCTCACGTTTTATCTGGGAATTTGTCTTTTTGTTATCACAACTAATTAATACATGCTATTAGTAGTTGGTACCATATCTGACCTTTTGAGTTTTTCAACAATACTACAGAGGTAGTAATAAATAAACCTTTTAATTTCTCACAGTGACTTCATGTGTAGTGTTGCATCTATCAACAGCAAACAGCTGTTTATCTCACTCCTATTAGCCAATTTGGTATCAGGGCAACTGGCACACTCTTCCAAAAAGAAATACAAGTGAGAGACAGCAAGGGTGTTCTGCGATACAGCAGGATTAAGAAGGAATTTTGCCTCATTTTCTCACAAACAGAAGTTTCTATGACAAGAGAATGATGAAGTGGTTTGAGTTGGAAAGAATTAGATTATGTAAACCTGACTTACAAACTGAGGCAGCAGAGAGCCCTAACTAGCTAGTTCTGATTGATAAATTTTTCAGCCCAAACTTGAAAGAGGAATATACAACATATCTGCCCAGGTGTTTATTGCCCTGTTTCAGCTCTTGAGGATACTCACTACTGGTATCTACACACAAGGGCAGTGCTGTAGTATTGAATGCAGCTCAAGGCTGTGGTGTGGCTCTGTCCTCTGCTTCCTTGGGTAAACATCTGGCTGAAGGGCGCAGAAAATTGTAGTCAATGGGGTAACATCTGGCTGGTGACCAGTCACTAGTGGTGCTCCTTAGGGCTCAATTTTAGGGCCAGTTCTGAATGTTTTTATCAATGACCTGGACACAGGAGTTGAGCACATGCTAAGAAATTTTGCTGATGATACTAAATTAGGAGGAGACATTGAGTCTCTCAAGAGCACAGAGGCGTTAGAGAGAGATCTTGGTAGATTTGAGTGCTTGGAAATCACCAACCGTATGTAATTTAACAAGGACAAATGCTGGATTCTGCTCCTGGGACAGTGTAATCCTGGATGTATGTATAGACTGGGGACAAGAGGCTGGTGTGCAACCCTGCAAAAAGGGATCTGGCAGTTTGGTTGGTGGCTTGGATGTTCGGTTGATGTACATCAGCTGTATACAAGTTTTATCTGTTGCCCACCTTTGAAACAGTGCTTGAAGCGGGATGCTGTAGACGCAAAGACTGAGTGAGTTTCCTGTGGAAAGCATAGGCAACTCTTTCTTTTTTTTGGGCCCTATTCCTATCTGGAAAGGAACTTTATGTCTAACTCTCACATCTTATTTCATGGTGCACACCAAATATCTGCTCTGTGCCTTTTTAGGATGCACTTAATGTGGGGGAAGGTAAGTCACACATGCAGTGTGTGTATAGTTCTGTGTACGTCCTGTCCTGCCTGCTTTGATTCTGAATTTCATCTGAAATAATAACATCCAGAAAATGCAAGCTATATCTGGATTTTGCATCTTCCTGTGGCTGCCAGGAGCAGAATAGTTGATTCAGGTTATTAATTCAGGAGACCGTGTCTTTCTGTTCTGTGCTGATGGTGAAGTGATCTCCCACTGCTCTTCTCTCAACATGAGATTCATGAGGCAGTCACTTGGCATCATTTACTTCCACTTAAAATTTCTTACAGCCTCCTTCCTGCAAAGTAGAGAGCTCCTTCTCTTGAGGAGACCTCAGTCATTCCAGGTGACAGGGAAGAAGCTCTCCAGAGGATTTATCTCTTTCCCTGTGTTCTCTGCTGTCACCTTTTCTGTCTGTCTCAGTTCCCACCAGCCTGTGTCCTCTGCTCCAGGGGTTTGTCTGGCCTAAGTGTTGGTGAAAAAAATCTCTCCTTCAGAAGAGTCAGCGCTTGATTCATTTGGAGACTCCTACATGGATGGCCTGTATCGGAGGGTCTGTCTTATAAATCACCAGCTTTGTCTCATATTTTTTTTGTTTTCACCCTGTTTATGCTTTTTCCTTGCCTTGTTCATCCAACTGACTGTTAGATGTGCAGAGAAAGTGCTGTGGGTTTTGGGATGCGCCTGTTATGCCAAGGACATTCCTTATTAATGCAGAAAGATTTCAGGTTCTGACCTGCCTCCTCCGCACTGTGTGCAGCATTTGTCAGAAGGTGTGTCATCCCTGCTCACCTTGTAGGAAATAATGCTGCGACATTGTGGCAGCAATGTGAAACCTCCTAGGAAAGAAGAATCTTTTACTGTAAAACAAAACTAAATCAAACCTAATTCCTGTACACACATTCTCACAAGCATGAGTATGTGCAAGGAGTCCATCCAGCATGCAAGCACGAAGACACCTGTATTCAATCTTTCCAGCATTCCCGGAAATTAATGTAGAGGATGCCAGCTGTGGAGTCATCCTCATGTTTTCTGGGCTTTTAGTAGGTTCGCAAAAATGGGCTAGGTTTGCATGTTCGTTTCTGTCCTGGCTAGGAGCTGACAGTCTTGCTGTTCTGTCATGACTCTGTTGCACATCATGATTTACTTGTTGTCCTGTATCTCCCAACCTGGTGTCTGAGAAGCTGCAGGTAGATGGGCACTAGGATCTTGATGACCCACTAACCTTGGTACCATCAACACCTGCTATTCTAACACGCCTTATCCTGCCGTTTTTTACACCAACCAGTCTATCGCGCCCTCAACAGTGTTCCTGATAATGACAGAGTTACTTTTCTGTACTGTGGGCCACTTTGGATCTTTGCTCCTGCCCCACAGATACTACGCTGCATGTCCCAGGTGGGATTGTTCTGAAGCTGAACACCACAGACTGTGGAGCTGTTTCTGAAGGTAAAGGAGTTGCCATCTTCAGCACAACCTCCTTGCAAAGCACAAGCACTGGAAGGGCAGGACCTGGGCTGAGCTGCCTACCTAGAACTTGAGATAGTGAAGCTGGGACTCACTGAAAAATTTCACGTAAATCAACTTACATATGGGACTCCTACCTCAGAAGGAATCATATCACCTTCATATCATCTGGCCTCAAGACAGATTGCACTCTATATGATCACCAGATTTGCCTAAAATGTGGAAATATAGCCCTGCTGAAAGCTTGTTTTTCATCCATGCTTCTGTCATTGTCCAGAGATTCTCATTGTGCAAGAAGATCCATAAACTAGCTGGGATATCACTGAACTTCTTTGTGTCTCTGAGTTACTGTTATTTCCTCAACAATGTGTTAGCAGATTGTCTTCTCTGTGGAGTTCACGGTGAAAAGCATCAGTGCCACCTCCTCACGGGTTTAGCCACTGAATCAGTACTGTTACATGCCAAGGAAATTCGTGTGAAGTGAACATACTCTTTATTGTGACTGAAAAGATAACTGTTAACCACATGATCGCTGAAATTTTAGGAGACTCAAGTACATCATGAACCAACGAGATCAGTCCCTTGCATGTCTGTCAGACAGTGGAGGGCAGCATCAACATTTTGAAAGAAGATTCATAGATACTGAGTGCATTTCTGCAAAGCTGGTGATCACGTTAAGCGCATCTGCCAGAGACAACGTGTTAACAAAAGGATGTTGCAGATAATTCTGAATGAACGAAACAAACTGAATATTTTTCTGACAGTGAGGTAAAGAAGCTTTACTTCAGCCTGAAATGAGTCTCAGAGCTCAAAAGTTCTTCAGAAAACTTGAATGTATTTCAAGTCAGCCCTGATCACTAGGGAAGGCAATGTGAATGAACACACTATTGTCAGAAATCTCCATTGCTGACTTTCCTTTGAAATAGGAATTCTGAAAAGTCACAG